TACTACTGTATGTGTTGAATTTATTGCTGACAAAATACTTGATTGTTGATGTAAATATTATATGTTTCTAAAATATCAAGGATCCTGTAAGTTGTATTAAGTAATTTAAAGATCATCAGATTCAACTCCATTTCAGTTCAAACTGTGCAATGACTGTTGATGTGGCTGGTTTGCATGTAGATTTTAATCTCATTCCTAGGCACTGCAAAAGCAATGCACTGGATGCATTTGCCTTTATATACCTTTTGCCTTTTTAGTAGTATGACAAAATACTACCAAATTTTAACCTTTTGATGTTAGCACACATGTTTGTTTTTTAAAAAGTATCAATTTAAAGGTTTTAAGGCTCAGGCAGTAGATGTAGTACAAACTTTAACCATTTTTCTGTATAAGATTGGGGTAGAACTTACTGCCTTCTTACTGTAAGGCAGTCGTTCTTAATTATTTTCTGTCATGCCTCCCCTTGGGGACAGACAATTTTTCACGCCCACCCACCCCCCCGCAAATTGAAAAACTATTGAGAACCTTATAACGTGCATATTTTTATCTGTACAAACCACTGTATGAGTTGCTGCCACCTAGTGGCTGGAGACTTGTTATCATTCAAGCATTACAGCAGTGGCACACTTTAATGTATGTCCAGCGTGCCGTATTCCATTGGAAGACCCTCACCCCACCACACCGCGCCTACTATTTGAGAAGTACTGCTGTAAGGCAAGCAGAATGATTTGAAACAGACCTTTGTAATGTGTTCCTATCTTAAACTCTTGAAAACTTTTAATGCAAATAAAAAGTTTCAAATTCAACATTTGAATAAAATATATAAATAGTTTGAAGCTTTAATTGTATATTTTGTTGGTATGCTTGCAGGTTCAATGCAATTGTGTAAAACCTTTAAAAGGTTTCGGTTTTTGTGCACTTTACAGCCTGTCGAATAAAATTATACACATACTGTATGTTTGGCCAAGAGGAACACAAAAGTGTTTGTTTGTCTTTTGTTTTAGCTTCAATGACTGCATGCGATGTCCAACACCATATTGTCATAGGTCTCTACATAAAAAAATACAAGTAGTTGATCGCACTAGAAGGAGAGTAGGTACTATATTCCGCTTTATCACCAGATCAAATAAAAATGCTTAAAAATACAATGAATAAGGAAGCTGCCATACTGTACATGCTTGCATGTTGAAATGGTGGTGACATTTGTGAACACATTAGGTTCCTTTTGTGGATTATTTTTATTGCCTATTGTATTTACCCTACTACTTGTGCTTCTCTACTACCTTCTTAGGTGTGTAGAGCCACCATCTTGAAATATGCATTATTGCTTTTAGAATGTCTCCAAATTCATGGAGTGCATTATGACAGTAAACAGACATAAACATTTAAATAGCAGTAACTGTATGCTGTTGATTAAATTTTAATAAGAAACACACTTCCCCTTTCCCTTTATCAGAAGTGGCTTAATAATTACACCAGAGACACTTCCTGTTGTAAACATCCCTGGCAGGGTTAGAAGATAAACATTATAATTCAAACCTGAGATCTTTTGTAATGGCTGGACAGAATCCTACCACTGTTCTACAATAGCTCTTGGAGATTCAATATCAATTTACTCCTTAAAAGCTGTCGTCATACATACTAGTTCATAAATACAGACTATAATAATTCTCTAAGTATTGGCTTTCCTTAGTTGAACCGTACGAATCCCCCCATAAAAATCCCACAAAGTAAACATTATAAATGTACTGTATACATAATATATCTGTGTATAACGTTATCTTAATAGCTTGTTGTTGGAAATGTACATCTATCTATCTATCTATCTATCTATCTATCTATCTATCTATCTATCTATCTATCTATCTATTTATCTATCTATCTATCTATCTAATCTAATGTAATCGAATTTAATTGAATCTAATCTATCTATCTATTTATTTATTTATTTATGAGAAGCAGCAAGTGTTGTTCGCAGCTCTGGCCACAGGTGTCGCCAGTGCTCCAGTACAATCGGTCAGAGCCCGATTTTAGGAGTAGCAACAGCAACAGCGGTAGCCTGATGATGAACCACATCAGTAGCAGCAGCAGCAGCAGCAGGAGCAGCAGGAGGGTCCACTCCTTCCCACAATCTCCATGTTAAAACGGAGCAACTTCTCCTTCGGCAGCCTGTCACCGTCCGCTTTGGAACGGCCGCTGCTCTCTACAGAGCCGTTACTTCGCTCAGCCCCGGGCTATGACGCTCGTGTGGGACATGACCGCATAAAGGCTGCCCTGGTCGACTCACAGTGAGTTCACATTAAAACCGCTGCCCTTAAAGACAAAGTTGTTGTTGTTTTGTTTTTTTTCCAGACCAACCTTTGTGTGCAAAGTCACGTAGACTGTTTTAAATTGTATTTATTTGTAGAATATGGACGTTTATAGGTTTTTTTGGGGTAGTAGTTTCCTAGGTATATTAGGCTGCAGTATACAGAGGAATGTATGTAGTGACGTTTTTTGTCTGCGCTGTTTCACCGTCTAGCTGTTAGCTTTTCTAGTTAGCTACATCACGTCATTCGTCATCTCCGCGTTAACGGAGCACACATGCTGCTCTAACGGCCAGGTTCTTGTTTGTGTGCACCGCTATCTCCACTCGATCAGGTCGATGTCAAAAGTGAAGAGCAAGGTCAGAGGTTTGATTTCATCCTTTTTATTCGGTTTAAGTTCACGTTGGCAGTGTACCGTATGGCAGGTTTGTCAGAAGGACCAATCACGAACGAATACGGTCCATAACGGCTGGAATGATTGCATCGCCAGCTCCATATGGTTCAACGTATGAGGTTAAAGGAATGCGTAACAAAAACAATATTACAGTGGTCATCAGCAGAGACACTTTCCCTCTGTTTGATTTATTTGTTTTATGTTTTTTGTATTCTCTTGCATGTATTATGGAGCCGTTTTTTCATCAGCTAATATGAGGTTAAGTGACAGTAATGCAACTCCCAGGCTTCAACGACAACCCAATGAACAGACGCTGAGCAAGTTGGTCAAAAAGCTACAGCACTTTCACGGTATTTTTATCCTTTTCCTAAACCTGAAAATGAGGTGTTTATACATTTTGAAACAAACTTGAAGGAAAACATGTTAAGTATTTAAACTTATTTTTCTCTTCCATCTCCTAGTTGTCATGCACTATTTGACTTGCATGTGTAGAGTTTGTATCTATCTATCTATCTATCTATCTACTGTATATGGTACAAATACACAGATTAACCAAACAAAACTTATATTACATTATATTACCTTTAGTTATGTTTCAAATGAGTCCTGGGGGACATTTTCAAGGACCGTTACAAAGTTCTCCCAGAACACAGGGAGAAATCATGGCCAGGATATCTAGTAGTAGTGTTTCTTAAGTCTAACAGCTAGATCTGGTGCCTGGTCATGCTATGCATGGGTGATGAGAAATGAATGATGTTGAATTAAAGGGAATGGGTGGTTGGAATGCAGAGGGCTGTTTAGGGAAATCATGGTTACTTCTGCCTTTAAATCACAGGACACTACAGCAACAGATGTCTTACCACATGCTGTACTTCTTTCTAAACTCAAAGCAACCCAGGGGGTCCTGCTGGTACCAGGGTTTAAGGCTTTGAATAAGTAGCCTAGATCGTTCCTTCTTGTTTGACTGGCTGCTTCTTCTTTCCTTGTTTCTTTCTTTCCTAATCTGGCATTACATATTTTACCAAAAATAATTTTTAGATACATTTTAATATATTTTTCAAATATATTTTTAGGTTATACTAAAGGCTGCCAAACCATATCAGTAAGTAATGTTAAGTACCTTTAAAGCCACTAATTGTAGACGTGCAACTAAAGCATGTAGCTTCTGTGATTGGACACGTATCTCATCATATTCATTAATTGGCGAATTCAGTTTCAAACTCCTGCCAAAATGTACTTTTAACATTTAATATCATTGTGACGTAATTCTAGGGTATCAAAACTGTTGAATGACAATTCAGCAACATGCCCATATGATGAGTGCATTGTTTTTGACTGTAATGTTTTAGCATAATCTAAAAAAAAAATAACCTAGGAAACAAAAAGTGACTGACCTTATATGTGATATATATATATTATTCTAATAATATTTTGCAAATACTAATTAATGTTGTTTTTTTACTTCTTAATTACATTTTACAATTTTTTTGTAGCATAAATTCTATAATTTTAAATATTTAGACACAGCAGAGTTTTTTTCACTTCACCAATACTGATCTATCCCCAAGTTACCATCCACTTGCAGTTAACCTCTGACCGGGTGGCTGTTGTGTGTATTTATAGACATACTGAAGTTAACACTGTGATTCTCCTGTCCATCTTTTTAAAGACTTGGTGCAGACTGCAGGACCTTTCTAATGGTGACTGCAGTTAGTATTCTCTTCTCACTAAGCCCTTTGTTTCTGACTGGCAGGATTTATAGAGGTAAAACTTGCAAAATGACACAAAGAATGTCTAACAAATCTCCCTGCCAGGCCAGGGTTTTATATGTTCCTGATAAGCTTTAATAGATGAAAGAGGTGTGATTGGGATTTATTTGGGTCATAGGATTGTTGAAGCCCTCTTTAGTAGGTCATCATGGTGCTGTGTGCAGACAGAGACTTATTATTTTTGTGTCATCTGGAGGATGATACATTTATTACACATAAAATCAAACAATTATAGTCTTATATACCATGACAGTTTTCCTCAATATTAAAGATGAAATTTTGTTTCATGATATTTAGATGGATTTTCCTTTGCCCAGTGGTGTAGCAGTGCTTGGCCAACAAAACTAAATAATTTTGGTACAAATACATTTTATTTAAATGAAATGAAAACGATTTTTTTTTACCTTAAAAAAAAGAGCAGCCATTGACGTGGGTTTCTGTATAGCACATAATCCGATCTAATTAAATATGCTCAGAATAACTGCATTATATAAATAGCCTTTAATTGTGGTGGGTGGTAAATACAGAAACGGTGTCAGGAGGATGACGAGATTGTCTCCTACCTGAGTTGCCTCACATGTCGTGTAGAGGTGGATTTTCTCCAGGTTATGTGTATCTGCTGCACTAACTGCTGCAACACTCTTGCTTTTACAGTGACAAGCACAATATTTTGATGCCATCTGGATGTTGATTAAAGTGGACTACTGCAATTCTGGAAACAGTGTTTGGAATTGTACATGTTGCATAAAGGATATTCAATGATTCATTTTCATATAAATGTAGGAGAATCACAGCTTCCTATTTTATTAGGTACAAAGGGTAAATTACTGTCATTACATCTACATAATTTTTAATTAAAGATTACAAAATCTCTGTCTGCGTTAAAACGACGAGACCATGTGTCTCTGTTTTCTCGAGGACATTGTAGGGTGAAATGGAAAACTGTGATACTTAATACTGGACTTTGACTTGGCCAAGCAGCTTGAAAAAAACAAACAGTGACTTAAGCTTTAAAGACGACATTAGGTTTCACTGCATGGATGGTTTCTGTGAAATGGGATCATTGTCCGACTAAAGTTTTTAAAGGGCTAGACTGTGACACCCAGCCTGTTAAACATGTGGCTCTATGGGTTATAGGTTTAATTCTTTATTTTAATAGTCACTATAAGCAAAACCTATTTTAACTATTGCTTGAAATTATGATTTTCAGGGATTAATTTCAGTTAATTAAAATGGGCACAGCCTGGTTATCATTTAAAAAGAAATGTATTGTATACTTAAAAACACACTAAACAAATAAGCTTCAACAACAGTATTATCTTTAACATTTAAAATATTTTTTTTTGTTAATTACAAAGTAATCAAATAAAATATAAAACCAAATTTAACTAATGCAAAACTAATGAATGTTTTACTTTGTTTGCTAAACACAAGTTACCCTCAGAGTCCAGAGCCATGATCATAAAGTTATTACAAGCTTCTACAGAGCAACAGCAACTTTACAGGCTTGTAATGCATTCAAGTTATACTTAAGCCTTTACAAAGAATATTATTAATTAACTTTAATGTCAGTAAAACTGTAGTGGGATGACACTCATTTTAGCTTAGTATTAATCAAATTCATTTTTTTCAACTTTGCTGGACTTGTTACTCGTGTAAATGTAAATGCTTCATGCTACATACCATATGTTTTAATCCCATTGCTCTTACAGTCTTAGTTGTCCCTATCTTTTATCTGAAGTTTTTTTTTTTTACATGGCAATATACAGTATATAGCATGATGATAAGGAGTATGCCTAGACCACTCTAATGGGTCACTTTTGGCCGTCTGCTGGGAAAGTTGACTAGCTCTAAATAAGCTGATATAAACTATACTTTGTTTGTATAGAAGCACCACCAAGGTCTGGTTATGCAATCGGCATGTGGCAGTGTTTCTCTCCTTTATAAACAGTCGTTTTCAAATTGCAGAGCTAGCGTGGTTTGCTGAGTTGATTCTGGCACAGATGAAAAAAAAAAGAAGTACAACATTTTAGCCTAAAAACTAAGTTTTCACTACAGGTCTCTGCAGTTTAGAGAATAATCTTCCTCTTAGTCAACGCTCTTCACATTTCTTCTATTTTCGTGCCACAGGCTGACCAAATGACCGTTCACTATCATTTCCACGTGGCATTTCACCGTCACTTGATTATAGACTGTTTCTATGAAATGGACAAAGATATGGTCAGGCCATGACAGGCTAAGAACAAACCTTGAATTTCTACACTATTTTTAAAAATAACTGTTTATCTCAATTACTTATTTAAAATGTCTTTAATGACAAACCAACATCACATTATAAGCATGATTTCAGTTTAGTAAAAAGAAAAATAACAGTCTGATTCTGAGGTAAATAAATGACACTAAAAGAGAAGAATATTAGTAAACTCCTCCTCAGGACTTTACCAAAGGTGGATGAGGATGAATAAAAAACAAAATAAAATGTAAATAAATAGTACAAAAAAACATGAATACAATATAATTTAAATACAAATTTAAAAAAGCATTACCAGTTATCGTGACTAATACAAAGAAAATAAGAGGACCATTTTGGTTAAACTAAAATATTTTGCTCAGAGCACTGCACAATATACTGAGAGACTCTGTACATGTGTCCAGTATTATCACACTATATTTGAACTGATGTTAAACACTAGTCAGTACCGGTAATTATTGATGGCTGTGATGTAGAGGATGTTGATTGTTTGCTACTTTTCTTTATTTCAAGTTTTTTTTTTTAGTTGGTTGTGATTAACCTGGTGGTTGGGATTGGTCGTATTGTTGAATGGTACAGGTGTCACGCCAGTGAACTTAGTTCATTTTTTTTATTGACCAAAGGATGATGCTTTCTGCCTCGTGTCTATTTCTGCTCCTCCCCTGCTTCTGGTCACACTACTCACCCTATCATCTGTATACACCCATGAGTTTCGCCTTCGGAAAGGGTGGTTGTGAACAAGCACATTCAATATGCAAGGCAACATAATAGTTTACTATAAATAGTTTACAAAATTATTAATTTAATAATCATTCAACAGACTACATTGGTTTTTGTGATAGTTTCAAGCCAAAGATCATTTTTTAAATGAATCACACAGCCTTATTGTGATTTAAACTACTACACAAGTCACTTGTTTTTATATTTACCAGTGGGTAAACCTGATCTTTGGCTCTGTGGAGATACATCAAGTTGGAACAGCGCAATCATTTTCCATCAATGCGATAAGTGCATTAAGATTTGCAAGTATAATTAGTTAAAACTGCAGACTTGACGACTGTTGACTTAACAACTTTTAAAGTGAGGTTGTTACACAGCGGCACACAGTAATTTCTGACTATGTTGTGCACACCCCTCCAGTGTTCCTTGTTAACATTTAGGCATTATATAGGCTTAGCAGGGCCAAAAGAAGAGATGTTAGGAGTGGGAAAAAGTAATTTGATTCTTGAAAAATCAAGAGAAGGTCGAAGAAGTGACAAGGTTTCCAAGGAGTTGGAAAAAACTGTACCTTCAGTCAACACATGAGTGGGATCTTATTAAATCAAATGACCCATTACAATATAAAGGAGAGATGTTTTAATAGACCAGGTAGTTGTCATACCTTGTAAAGCAGCTCAAACTTACATGGGTGTGTGCAGGTGGCAGTCAGCCTGTGCAGTTGGCTCAGAGTGACGTCATTGCTTCCCTTGGGAATAGGACTGGGTGGGGTCCTGCCCTGCGTAGCACAGTGGTGTGAGCAGCACAAACATGCGAAGAAGAGCTCACAAGGTATTGGGCAGTCTGCCTATACTATTGCAGCATTAAAAGTGAAAGCTCTCTGTTTCTTTTGTTTGTGCGCAGGTGAGGCAGGCTGCTCCCACCAAGGCTTCTGAATGTTGTGTTTCCTGCAGCTCTGGTGAAAGGTAAGCTGAGCTCTCAATTCTTGGCCCAAGCGTTTCACACATTACGTTTGAGGCGTTATTTCAAGCTAAATGTTTAACTGCTAAACTTGGTTTTTGTCAGATGCTGGTTTCATTTTCATTTTTTCACATGAAATACATTTAACTCAGCATTGCCAAAAGGGATCACACATGTCCCCTGAGGTGTGGAATACATTGATGAATTAAGTGCATTTAAAAACTGATTTCTGCATGTGTTTTGTCATTTTGTAAGTTAATGTTGCATTGTTAGCATTAGGGCTAGTCAGTGTGTGTATGGGTTTGTTTGTATTTCTCTGTTGCAAGTTAGTAATAGAAGCACTAGGTCTTTGACAAACCTCAGGAGCTTACAGGGTGTTTCAGAATTGTTACAGTTGTAAAGTATTCTGTTCTGTTTTGTTCTGTGTAATGAGAGCTACCGTTGCCTTTACACTGTATGTCAGTTAGGAAGTAACAGGATTCCTCCCAAGCTGATAGGAATAAAACAAAATCAATCATTTACTAGTGAAAACAGTTTTGTTTACTTCTGAAATCCACATAGACGCTTGGAATTTACTAGTAGTAAGTACTACTAGTAGTAGTAGTAAAGTAATGGCCATAAATACTCTGTTTCTTTTACTGAATTATTTGAATGGCCGGTTACATATGTTCTTTATGTCCCCCATGTTTATTTGTAAGCCTTACTAAAGTGCTTATGGTCTTTGTGTCAGCTGGCTTGTCATGTGAGATTTTATTGAATGCCTCAGCAATACTGCACAAAACACGGTAATGATTCATAACTTTATTGTTTCAACTTAAACTGTAAACTGTCTAAATAGCTCTTAAAGGGACAAAAAAGAAGTTGCACATAAAAAATGGTTAAATGGAGAGTCTGTCTCCAAAATTAGTGTTTTGAATATTATTCACAAAACTATTCAGTATTCAATATTCAGAATCAGCATTCACTCAATGATGATAAAATGTCGGAATGCTATTCCTAGCATGTGCTTTTAAAAAAACTTGTTCATAGTATGTTCATAAAAAAAAACCTGTTTTTGCACATGTACTATCATGCTGGAGAATACTTCATGCCTTCTAATCTATAATTGACTGTCAACACAGAGAGACTCACAGAGGGGTTTAAGTAGAGTACAGTTCAGTCATTAGATCTACACGGGATCCGTAGCCTCCGTACACAGTGTCCATTTAGCTGCTTTGTTCAAGTGTGGCTGGACTATTAATTGCTGGGACAAAGTACAGAACTTGCACCCTCCACAGTTTGACCCAATTAAATATTTTATACATTTCGTGGGAAGTAACTGTACCAGTGTCAGTTTCTCTCGTGTAGGAGCACCAGACCAGCTTCTTAATTTGTTTGTTTTGGAGGAGTTTGAATTTTCCTTTCTAGATAATTAAGGCGATGTTTGTGTAGAGCTAATTTGCTCATATTTTGTTTTGAGACATCCGCATGCTGAACCCGCACGTTTTCTATGGGACAGCATTTTATGCTGAAAATTTATACTGAAGGGATAAGAATTTTTATATTTATCTGTGAAATTTCACAGCACTTGAACACATATCGCATCCTAATTGGTTTAAGTTGGTCACGTGGTTTGCGATTAAATATGCTATTCAGGTCCAAGTAGCCCGTAATGGCCATATGTCTTCTGTTAAACTGCTATTAGCTTTAGTGTCATTAATTAAAATCAGTTATCTGCTATCCATTATCTCATAATTCATGGCCTACTTTCTATCCACTCAGGATGGACCGTCTCGTGGATTGTGCTGGCACAGATTTAGCCTCCACCTCACACCTCCTGTCTCTCATACTCCTATTCACACTCTGTCCTGAGGACCACCCTCAGTCCTGTCCATGGCTGTTATTGGCCTGATCGTGATACCAGAAAGCAGAACTTGTCTTCTTTGTTCTGTCATATGTATAGTGTTTATATTGTAAGGAGTTCTGTGCAAATTCCCCTCTGGATTGGTTTACCCTAGTTTTTATTTTATTTTATTTTAACTTAAATAGTTTTGAGCATTGCCATTGAAAATAAAAGAATGGTGTTCCTTTGGGATTTAACACTAACTATTCAAGTTAATACCGGATCTAAATTCAACATGGTTTTTGTGTTCTTTGCACACAGCAGTATTTGTAAGATAGAGTTTGTCAAAGGAGTACCACTTCAACACACACAGTAAACATACAAGTAAATGATCCTCCTGCTACAGGCAAAGCTAATCTTACTAATGAGAAAGAAAACTTTGTAGATCCCATCGGACATTGCCACAGTGTCACACTGTAGTCACTGAACTATGTTTTCTGGCCTTTCTTTGTACAGCAATGCCGTTGGAGTCATGTGTTCAGTCTCATGAGCATCAGACTGAAGAGATGTTGTTAATTTCCTTAAAAAGCATTATATTAACAGATATTAGCCAGATATTAACTGTGGATACAAAATATTCAAGGTCTTTGTCTGCTGTTTCTCTGTGTTCTCTGACACATGTATGTGTCTTTGTTTCAGTTTTGTGTAAACAAAGGAGCCTTGTTGGCACTTACTCAGTGCCTTTCTCTAAAAGCTGAGCCTAGCTAGGCTCGCCTTAGCCTGGTTCTCACACAGCTTCCTTGGCCTGAAACCAAATAAACAGACAGCCAACTGGCATCGGCTGTCAGGTCCAACATGACTCTGAGTTCGACCAGAGACTTGTTCTCGATTTCACATTTTATCTGCAGGAATGAACGTGAAAAAAATGCAGAAAGTCTGAAGCTCAGGATTTCATTTAAGAGTGTTTAACCAACAGAAGGTGCCTTCAAGAAAATTCCAAATTTTTAAAAAACTAGGGTTTCATTCACTTTATTATTCTCCCTCTCAGGTTCGTCTTATCTCTCTCAGACTGATAGCTCTGACGTTTGTATGTCCTTCTATATAAGCATTCTTTTGTAATATTTTTAGGAATCTTTGAACTCCATACTCTACAGAGATTTCTACAACAACGCATATTAGGTGCGGATTTTTTTTGCAAAGGTCCATGAATCTCTGTTTGGTGTCACAATCTACGTCATGCAAGGTGATACAAAGACACATTTCTGCTTCCCTCCTTGTTTTATTATTACTCAGTGCTGGTACATATTTTCTGTAACTCAATATGCCTGTTTTAATTGGATATGAAACAAGAAGACCATGGCCTTAAAAACTGGTTCTGATTACCATTTGTCATCTATGCTGTGTTTAGTCAGCATTGGAAATGATGTAGAGACAGAATTATTTTGCGTACATGAGGGAGGTTGTGTCTTCTGCTGGTGTAACATGAAGTTTCTCTGTAAAAATGAGCAAGGATTATCTTTAAAATCTTTACTGTGCCAGTTTGAGGCCCAGTGTCTTTTCAGATAAACAAAACCCTGGAGGACAGTGAAGGGAGGCACTCATGCCAAATTGGGCAGAGCAAGGTCAAAGTTGGACCATACAAAGTTTTAGTGACAGTTGTTATAAGCCACCACAGTCCACGCAGAACAAAGGCTGCCTATTTTAAGATCAAATTGGAAGTCTGGCTGGAAGACATTTTCTCCATCTGAGGTCCTTAAATATACATTCACCACTCCCACCAAACTCAAAATAGAACAACTATACCACATATCCTCACACGCAGGGCCACAAAAAAAGAAAAAGCCATGTGTCTACATTTTAAGTAGTGAAAGAAGACCTAGTTCTTTTATGTTTGCTTATTGTAATAATCATTTTTGGTGCAGGCAGGAATTCTATTTGCTCTTTGTTAAACTAAAATAATATTAATGTGAACACTAATGGTTTGGCAGTTGAAATTAAACTAACTGTAAGGTAATACATTCCATATACTGCAAATATAGTGAGATAAGCTACATGATTGGTTTGGTTTTTTTTTTTTTTGTCTAATGTAATGTATAATTTTTCATTTTGGGTGGGTGGTAGCTGAAGTGTGCTTATAGGGTGCTAATGATTTAATTATTATATTAGCTTTTAATTTCTTTGATTATGTATAGTTTAGATAAAAAAGGTCATTGTGTTTTGATTATTGAAGCCTTTTTCTTAAATGTTTATGGGTTCACAAGAAACTCCAAGATAACACAATATTTTACCCTTTTTTTTGTTTTAATTAATTTTAAAAAAATCTCAATTACAGGATATTAGTAAAAGACTCTAAGAGTATTTGCATTCATTTGTGTCTCACAGACTGTTCTAGTCCACAGCCTGTTAGTGTAAATCTAGGTCATGTGGTCATCCATTGGCCTCGTTTGCCACTGGAGCTGGGGGGTTAACAAGAGCAGGGGTACTGAGGAGAGGATAGATGGATTGATGGACAGAGGGGTGGCTGGAAGAATGGAGGAAGTGTCTGGACATAATTTTAGTAACAGCTGGCCTGGTGCTGTGAGGCCATCATAAAGAAACCTCTCATACAGTACTCTATAATCACACAGGCAGAAAACCTTTTGTGAAAGCTGTGCTTTGGTTTGTGTCTTTTACCAAGTTAATCAGCTGGATTTTCCTATTGTTTTTACTCTAAACATATTTTAAGGAGTAAAAACTAATATTTGTCAAAAATATAGTATTGACCAGACAGTTTCCCATGGGATTTTAAGTATCATTAGCCTCAAACACTCATGGATAAAGGAGATGAAAAGTGATCAGAAGTTGATTTATATTTAATTTATATTTTTATATATATTCAAAGGCATAATACCATAAAAGGGTAATGCTAGATTTCTCCATTAAAGAATGTTTTGTTGTTACTTTTGTTGGTGAAATTGAAATGAATGAAATGTGTCTACCTGTTGTTGTTGCTGTTTTTCTATTCCAGTAATGCACAGAATACAGATTTAGGAATGTTCGGTTTAATCATGATTCATAATTGATCCACAGCTGCCCAGTGATTAATTAGATGGTTTTTTTTAGTTGTTAAGACATTAAGCCATTCAGAAATCCTTTTGTAGTAAAATAAAACTTCTTCCATGACATTTGGCTGTTTACCTCAACAACTAAGAGGCTATATTTGATGGATATATTGGAAATTAACTTTATATTGGTAAGAAAAGCCTTGTGTCAAGCTGGTCCCTAGTATATAGATTAGAACATGTAAACAGGTTTCTTTCCAGATGCCTCCCTCTCTTCATTCCCAGTTGTTTTGGAGAATACTTAAATTACCCATGCTTCATGAGTCTTGCTGTCTCAAGGGGTGTGTTTGTGAGTCACATGCTGTTGTTGTTGCTCTATCTGTTTTCTAAGAGAAAATGTTAATGTGTGACATAGGAAAGTGCAATATTAACAGTTCTGGTGTAGGCTTATCTCATTGTAACCTTGGTGTTACCTTTTCAACAAAAAAAAGCGTATTGTTAGGTAAATATTAGTCTAACAAGATCAAGTCAATGTTGGCAAATCTGTGTTGACCAAGTTACAGTAACAAAATATAAATAAAAAATCAAATTCCTTTATATAATAACCAATAAAAGCATATTGTTCTTTTTTTAATTAACAAAAAATATTTTTTCCCCCAACACTTTAAAATGGCAACCAAGCAAATCAATAAGTAAGTAACTACAACTAGGCAACTACAACACAATGAACCCTTTTATCCAGCTGTTGCTGTGGTCAGAAACAATTTGTGCCCACAGTCATCACCACACCCATTATTACAACTGAACAGGTGTTAATGCATACAAATGAACAACTCTGAGGCTTTTTTGTTATTTTTCTGGCCCACGGGGCTGTGAAGTCACAGACAAATGGAACATGAAAACTGGAAAATAATAAGTTCAAGAAATGTAGTAACATACAATGTATTCTATGGTTAGATATATATATTTATATAATTTAATAGTTTACTGTAAATATAATAAAAAAAATAGAAAACAAATCAACATTAGTTTTCAGCCTAACATTGACATGAAAAGAATTCAGAACAAATATTTAAAAAATGTAATGCTGCTTATTTGTCACTTTATAATGTCAGTCAGCCAATAATATTGAACGTCCCTAATTTTTAATTATGTAAAACTATTAATGTGTCTAGCCTTGAATACCATTAGGTCAGTAGATGACATGAAAGTACATTTTTTGTCAATATATAAATTTTAGTTAAACAATTAAAAAGTGATTATTGAATAGACAATTTTAACAGGGATATACTGTATAAACTGATATACTGTGACTCTCAAAAATGTGATTACGCTATTAATTGTAGTCCTACACATACATTCAAACACTCACTTAAAAATGTTCCCATCACCACTGGAACAGTCTGTAATCCAGGTGTTACTGCTGCTTCAGGATGTCTGTTATTACATTTTTGTGCAGTGCTCTCAGATTGTGCCTGCTGCCGGGACAACTGAGTCAGAGAAGAGCCTTCCCTTCCCTCCTTGGCACTACGTCATGTGAATTTGAAGTTTTCTGCGATAAAGCAATGCGGCAGGCACACACTGATGGTCACGTATGCACATAACACACACCACCAGTGTGGGTGTTCTCAACACATGATACACACAATCCAAACACTCAGGCAGGCCGGGATGCCACACCCATGCTGAGTCTAGACTGTGTGATGTGTTAATCCACAGTTTTCCTCCCGACAAATCCTGCAGCTGTGAGGGCCAGCTGTGATTGGTTTGTTGTGTCATGTTGACCTGCTTTGGCAGCCCTTTGTGCAATGCTGAACCCCCTAGCTGGTTTCCATGAAGCCGGCACCTCTGCTTCAGTATTCAGTACTACATATGCACTGCAGCAGGAGAATGCTATTTATATACATGCCCCACAAACACAAATAAGGCTCATTTAAGGAATGCATGAATTTACCTATAGGCTTTTATACACTTTTCACGTATTGCCTGTTCCTTGAAAGAATAAAAGCTAGAGGATTTACAGAGGAGAGGACAGAACAAATTATATATGTGAAGCAGGAGAGGAAAAGGACAACAGGGAATGGTATAAAGGGAATACAGATGTGTGTCTTGTGGGTTATTTTAATATGTATTATTGTATTTACTTTTGCCTACCTTACTTTTTTCTACCTCCAGCCATTGTCAGCCCACTGCTTTTACTTCAGTCAATCTTATAAACATTTCAGTTGCCCGTATAAACTGGCATAGTCACATGAATCAGTGTAGGAGTTAAAAGATGAATAACATCAGTGAATGAATTTATGTAACATGCCATTCTTTGTAAATGCTCTGTGCTCTGGAAGACAGAGATGGTGCTTATTTCTTGGGTTCGTGTGTTTGGCACGTACAGAAAATGAATAGATTATATTGATCTAGGCTGAGTAGTGTGGGCGTCTAGACACTAGCTAGTGATAATAGCTAGTAATGGCTATGCTCTATTAACCTGAGTGTTTTCCTGTCAACTTTGTTTATTTAGAGATTAACTCAACACATTTAACTAAAATAATGATCTGTCTGGGAACAGTTGCTAAGAACATACTGTACATAATCCTGAATGTGTCATAGAACTGCTCCAACATTGTGAAAAAAAACAAAAACATTGTCATTTAGTAACATTTGTGGATTGACTATGTGTATATTTGTTATATTGCTAAGCAAACCCCCGTAATGTGTAGATTGACTTTTTACACTTTGGTGAGGACTATTCGTAGTATTTTCAGAAAGCACAATTACTTTTACTCATTAGTGATGTCAAAGATATTCAGGTCAATGAGGAAAAGACAGTGAGAACACTCACACTTTACGTGAAAAGAAAGTGAACCAAACACAATTTCCTGCAAGTGTGAACATGCCCGAAAATTATCTTTTCCTTCATAAATGTCTGAGTCAGTTATCAACCACTGCAGCAGAGCCCTGGTTATGATACAGACTGTTGACTAGATAGAAGAAATCTATTGTTCTATGCAGTATGCAGTGTACACCACCAACAGCAATGGACAAAGTTAAAAAAATTGTATCATTTTTTTAAGACCAGTATCTTATTTCGAAAACTTTAGTGTTAGATTTGCATTTAATGACACAACACAGCACAACACAAGTTTTATCTAATCCCAAAATAGTGTCTTGTTCATGCCTCAGGTAGGCTAAGATAATCTTGCTAATGGTTCGTCTCATTTCTTTATCTTTCAGTTCCAAGTCTTTGCTGCCCCCTACTGTCTTTGTTTTCTCGCTTACAATTCCTACTATAAATATCTTTCTAAAAAGAAAGCAGAACAAGACTATAACAACAGTGAGTACAGTATCTGCTGATAATCAAACATCCCTAGACTTCAAGTGACACTTAAAATTTCCTGAGTGTATTACTTTGTATGGTTTCATTGCTTATTATTTGAGAATCCTGGCATATTCCGCATGCAAGCCTGTTTCATATGCTGCCTTTGCTTGTGTGCACACGCGTCTCTGTGAGTGTGGTTACCTAAAAATATGACTCATCCGTCCACCCCTGCAAATAAACACCAGCCTGAATAGAGGCTTTTCACCTGTGTCTCTAGGAGTTGCATTTCTCTACATTTGTGTCCTTAGATATGCATATTTAACCTGACCACAGTTGGTATCAGCTGTTCAAGGAAAGAGCAGGGTTTTTTTTCTATATATAATTTGGTCTTATGTGAGCTAAAGCTGGAGGTGGATGTCTGCAGGCAGACAGAGAAGATGGAGTTGTCATAAGGCTGTGGCTGTTTTCTTGGACAGTGATACTCTGCAAACTGTGACTTAGCCAGTGCTTCTGGCTGCCATTACTCTAACAATGTGCAGTCTGTTGTGCCTATCACTGGCTTGTCCATTGCCACTGTGAGGAATGACTTGAGTGCCCCCATACCGTAGGGCTTTTTTTTATATAGAAGAAAAAAAATGTGATAGGAAGAAGAAAAAAGTGACAGATGTACAGGACGTAGTGAACACAAACACATTTAAATGAATGCAACCTGGTGATGCATTGTTGTTTTTGTGCTTCTCTCTCCTGCAGAGGAAAAACAGGTTGTCAGAATGAAGGAGGAAAGTTTGTTCCACCGAAGGCTTTCTCTCTGCCCTAATGCCACCTCCCCACCAAAGATCGACCCCTGCATGCTCACCCGTAATCTGTCTTTTGGAGGAGACAACGACTTCTGCAGCCTCAGCCCGGGTAAATAGAAATGAGGTCACAAACAAAGACAGCTTGATATTTGACATCAACAAAAAGCAGATCATTTCACCGTGTGACCTCGTTGGTCCCAGTCTGTAGATTTGTGCTAAACCTAAAATGTACAGATCAGCAAACCTCAGCTTCTGCTCTTTAGCTGCTTTTGGGCTACCGTCCTTTCAACTGTCTGTCAGCAGTTTTATTCACATTCTCAGTTTATTGTATGTGACCATGTCTTGTGGGTTCCCACCAGGGAGTGAAAGCGACAGGAATAGTCTCTCCATGCTGAGTAATGAACTTAGTCCTGTCCAATCACCAGGCAGCAAGGTAAGAACACAGAGCAGCTTCTACCTGTTCTGTAACAGACTCAGTGGATTTATACTCTGCCCCTTCTTTTAAATATGGTTGACCCCACCCCCAGCCCCAGATTTACAATGGTACAAAACAAAAAAAAAACAAAGAGCATTTGTATCCGGACAAATGTGCAGATGTTGAGCCCTCCTCCTTAAAGAGGAAGTGCACTGCAGTAAGGGCTTTTTACTAGGATGTGAAATAACACACAGCTGGTTCTGTCCCTGCTCAACAATACAAGTTAGAACTAGGTCTGGTTTTTAATCTGGTTCTATCTCTACTTAGAAAATCATACTATAGCATCCAAATCAGGTCCCTTTTGATGTTGGGCTCAGTGGCACATTATAAAAAAAAAGCTTTGGGACTTTCAATGCCAGAACCATGGTGGGAACTGTCTGAAGTATTGCAAGCTATTTTGAGCAACTCTGAATCCTAATTTTCTGTTGCTGTCTGCCTTGCTGATACAGTACATTAGTCCTGTGTTATTTCTTCACTTACTGAAGTAGTAGGTGTTTCAAATGACAACAGAGTAATCTCCATTGCCTGTTCTTAGTCACTTTAGACACAGCTGCCATCTGTTGTTCAAATCAAAGAACACAGAACAAACCCAGGACATTTTACACATGTTAAAAAAATGACCATATACAGAATGAGCATTGGTGTAATATTGAAACATATTACTCAATGGCTTAATGTGTGGTCATAAGAATAGAGCATGCGCTCAATGAAAAGTTCTTCACCTTTACACGAGCTGTAACCACTGAGCTGTGTAGCAGACAACGTTTCCATGGCATGTTAGTTATAATTAAAGCAAGTAACTTTTGAAGGACTTATGACACATTATATTTCCCTGTGCCACAATCTTACATCTGTTCATTTTCTCTCTTCTCCCTCAAGTCTGAGTCTAGGATGTTTAATGGTGTTGAGAAGGAATGCCCTTCCCCAACAGAGAAGCTGGCCCGGAAGGAGTCTCTCAAGGTTAGTTTGATGTAAACATGAAAACTGCTGAGTCATGTGCAGATTCATTCATTCAATTCATTTTAGGTGTCGATCATATTAGCCTCTGTGAATACTGTTATTTTGTGTGATCTAATTCCACCAAGTGACAGTTGAAGGTTTTCTTTCTTAGGACAATGACTGATTTATGTTTGTCACCTACTTTTATGTCATAGGTCCAAAAGCAAAACTACAGGCAAGAGAAGAAACGGGCAGCTAAGGAACTTTTTAGTGCACTAAAGGACCCCAGTGTTGTCATCATGTCCACTTGGTTAAAGGTGAAAAATGCTGTCTCATTAGTAGTTTGCTGACAAGTCAGAGTGATGAAAATATCCTGTATATTTTTTTAAATTATTTACTAAATTATAAACTAAGATTACAATCTTAAGAATAACTTCTCTTTTTTTACTAGATCCGAGGCTCTTTGAAGAGTTGGACCAAGTTGTGGTGTATCCTGAAGCCCGGTGTTCTTCTCATCTATAAGACACCCAAAACTGACCAGTGGGTGGGCACTATTCTTCTCAGTGCGTGCAAGCTGATCGAAAGGCCTTCAAAGAAGGACGGTTTTTGCTTCAAGCTCTACCATCCGTTGGACAAATCTATCTGGGCTGTCAAGGTCATTTTTCTTAAAGGATCTGTATTCTAATTCTTTTCATTAGAAACAAGATGTCCTAATTTCCCATGATACAAATTGCTGATTTCTTTGCCCTGTGTATGCTAACAGATGCTATGGTTGTCAGTGGGGTTGTATATTGTATTGTAGTTTCAGTTTTCTTAATCACATTTTACTTGTTTTTTGTATCTGTTCAGGGTCCTAAAGGAGAAAACGTTGGCTCCATCACACAACCCTTACCCAGTAACTACCTGATCTTCAGAGCTGCCTCCGAGTCTGATGGTAGGTTTTGTGTCTGTTTTGTTTGTGTGGAATTATTTTCATAATATATAATCCTTTATTTTCACAGATTTTTTTGTATCCCATATCCTTCTTTCTGGACTTGTCTCTCCAGGGCGTTGCTGGATGGATGCCCTGGAGCTGGCTCTGAGTTGCTCCAGTCTGTCTAAACTGACGGCCAAAGTAGTGAAAGAAGTGGATATCGGCTCATCTTCAGAGTCTTCTCATATACTCCAACTCCTGCAGTCCACAGCACTTACAGACACCGACCTGCTACAGTGAGTAACATCCACACAAATCCAGTTTTAGCCTTTTCTTTCCAATGGTTGATGGCAGGCATTTGGTAATAAGATATTTTCTCCTATCTTTTCCTGATTCTAGGTAGCTGTACTGAGCCTGAAGTGTATACTTATTGTGCAAATACTGCATGCCTGTTGGTTGCTCCCTTGCAGAGTCGCCACAGAAAACAGTTTTTGTACCTCTTTCTGACTCAGTCTCTTACCTGTTCTATTTTTACACAACACGTCCTCCTTCACTGGATCCCCTAATTTTCTCTAGGGTTTTTAACTGTCCAACCTCATATATAACTCCAGCGTCTTTGCTGCTGCTTTCTTTGGCATGCACCTTACCTCACAGTGTTTTGTATAATAGGCAGGGGAAGTCAGGAAAGGTCCAAATGGGGTCATAAGCCAAAAATGGTTGGAAACCACTACTGTAACACCATATCCACCCACCACCTCCTCCAGTCATGTTGTGCTGTTGTGATGATGTGTTCATACTGACAACATTCAACAATCACACCTCGTCACCGTTGACACTGTCTACACAGACTTCTTAATTGCAATATCAGTAATTGATGGGTGATAGTTCAAATCCCTTTACTTTTCTTTATGGTTGTGCTGTCACACATTAAAACACAAAGAAAAAAAGCATTTATTATTTGACTTCTGGCTTGAATGTGCAAGTCACTTACTGGATATCTGTGTCTCTCCACACCTCTGCTGCTTTTATTACCTTTGTTATGGCTCAAGGCTGAACCTCCCTTCCAGCCCTCCACCACAGCCCTGATCAGCCAATCACAGCAATCTGTGTGAGCACATGACTGACACAAGAGCAGGAAGATTGGATAGAATGTGAACAAAACACCTCCTGGAGAAGGACAGCAGAAACATGAAGCGTGCCAGCTTACTAACACACACACACACACACTTTCGTCCACGCTCATACACGGTGACACACAAAGAGGAGTATACATACTACACACAGATAGGCGTGTCAGGAACAGGGAAGCAACACTGCACATTTTAGCCAGTAGATAAAAGTACACAGACTGTATTTGTTGTCGTATTGACGGGAAACTGTAAAAGATTCTCTGAGGACTGATCTTTGAGGTAAGGTACGCTGCCTTTGAGGCATTAGTTTGTTAATAAAACTTGGTTGATAAGTAATTTAGGTTGTGTAGGAATGTGACTTTTCAAGTCTGTTTAGGCCGGAGAATTGAGATTTGTTTTTGTTTAAACAAATGGACTGTGTGTGATCTGACTTTTGCCTGTGTTAGTTGGGATAAAATGTGACAAATTGTAAATTACGTCACTCAAACCTTTTAGGATAAATGTATTATTACAACCTTGTTTTTCCCAATTTGTGTCTGTTGCATAAAGAAGTCAAAATTAACAGCACAATTATGTACAATTCTGTCTTGTAAGACATTCATAAAGTGAACCACACATTAGTATGTGCGTGATGTATTTTATGCATTTTCTTTATCAGAAAACAAAAGTCAAAGATAGTAAGGCTGTAAAAGGAACTGTAACTCACAATGGTGAGTCAGCAGAGCAGTAGGAAACACAAGAAAAGCAACCACAGCACAATTGTTATGGAGAAAAAAAGACGATTCTGTACGTCTGGTGGTGGTTATTGTTCCTGTCTTTAAATACAGCCTGACTCAGTGGTGTATCGGCTCAGACCATTCTGTCCAACCTTTAAAGGCTGCTCAACTGTTGGTTCTCAACACTCTCTGATTTTTTCCCTTGAATCCCAGAACATGGTCTAACCTTTCACTTTTCCGCTGTTACCGTCAGGTTGAATGACACCGTGTTGCTTGGCAGACACCACATGGAGCATGATGGATTTTCAGACAAATCAGAGCGGGAGGTTCACGATGACTGGGATACTACACCCAATGAGAATGGTGGAAGGCTAACAGAAGAGAGCGACGTGGAGCAGTCAGATGAGCTGTCCCCTGGGCCACAGGCCACGGCCTATGTGGAGCAGGGGTCAGAGGTGATGGCAGAGGTGAGGGGTCTAATTCCCAGTTCTGTGTAAAAAAAATTCCAGAAATATATATTGTCAGTATTTTGAACACAGTTCTCCAACTGGACATCCTCTATTTTAAGGTAATTTGTGCTTCCCTTCCTGAAGTGTCTTGTCTTTTCTCTCTTTCTTTATTCTTTATGTTAGGCTGGTGAGGCATCCCAGGTGGAAACAGTATCAGAGGAGAACAAGGGTCTGATCTGGAGTCTGCTCAAACAGCTGCGGCCAGGTATGGACCTGTCCAAAGTGTTGCTTCCAACCTTCATCCTGGAGCCACGCTCCTTTTTGGACAAGCTGTCTGACTACTACTACCACGCTGACCTGCTCTCACAGTCAGTGCATTTCAACAATTTTTTACAGTCTAAAAAATGAATAAAGATAATTTGTCTCAAATGATACCTGACTCTCTCAATCCTCTCCACAGAGCTGTGCTGGAGGAGAGTGCATACGATCGCATGAAGCAGGTAGTGAGGTGGTACCTGTCTGGTTTCTACAAAAAACCTAAGGTGATTTCTTTTTTCTTTTCTTTTTTTTTCATGCCTTGTTAGTGCATCTGTATAAGTCTGTTCAATGCAGAATGATTTTACAAACATTTTAGTTTCCTTTTGTTGTAAAGTTCTCCTGCTCCGTAGCTCACTACTGTTTATGTTCATGTTCAGGGACTGAAGAAGCCTTACAACCCGATCCTGGGGGAAACATTTCGCTGCTGTTGGCTTCATCCTCAGACCCAAAGCTGCACTTTCTACATAGCTGAACAGGTGAAACAAGATTCCTTTTTAGAATGTACACAAACACCCAATAAAGCTCCTCCTCTGCCCTGCTTTTTTACTGGAGAAAAAAACTGTTTCCTGCTTAACATTAGGCTTGTTTGTGTCTTATTTACTATGAACAGCTAGATCTACATTAATGTAACTAAAGATACAGCATCGAAAATAAACATTCAATTTCCTCTGCCAGGTGTCCCATCATCCTCCCATCTCTGCCTTTTACATCTGCAACAGAAAGGATGGGTTCTCTATCAGAGGCAGCATCTTGGCCAAATCTAAATTCTATGGTATATATATGTTGAAAGCTGTTGTTTTAGATGAGTTTAAAACAACACAAAGAGATCATTTGTAAATCCTGCCTTGTTGTTTTATGACCAGTAACAATGGGTTTTTTCCCCCACAGGTAACTCCCTGTCTGCTATTTTGGACGGCAAAGCCAGATTGTTGTTCCTGAACAGGGATGAGGAGTATGTCATCACAATGCCATACGCTCACTGTAAAGGTAAACATGTCTCATGTTTAATTATTAGTTTTCTGTGTCCAGAATGAATTATCTTAACTCCTTAATATTTATCACCATCCCTTTGTGTCCTTACATGTCAAATATACATTAAGTCTCAAGCTTTAGCCTTGAACTACTTTCATAACAACAGCCTTAAGCAACAATAGACTACAATGTGTTAGCACCTGTCAACAACTTTTAATATTCACTTTCTCTAATTAGAAATTGGCTTAACTGTCACACGCCCACAACACCAGCATCCACTCATTAGGTCATTTATTAATTATCATATTTAAAATGATTTCAATTTAAAATCTTTATAGTAACATTTGCTCCTGCTGCTACACAGCAGCAACATCAACAATGAAGTGATCAACACTGAACTACCTAGATATATTCACTCTGACGTTCCAGTCGTCTGATGATGTGTCACTGTTCCTGTAGGTATCCTGTACGGCACCATGACTCTTGAACTAGGAGGGAAGGTGACCATTGAGTGTGAGAAAACGAAATACTTCACCGAGCTCGAGTTTAAGCTAAAGGTATATTTTTAATTCTTAAGTAGTAGGATAACCTAGTTTGTTCATCATAATTATTTATATTATTTTGTAATGGTGAAATGTATTTGATTGTTTCCACTGCAGCCTTTGTTTGGAGGCTCTGGCTCTGTCAATCAAATCAGTGGGAAGATCTTTGAAGGAGAAGAGCTGATGGCTACAGTTGATGGACACTGGGTGAGAAATGGCTTCAGTCATCTCTGTTCTGACTCTAATGAACTATTCTGCTCCCTAAGCAGGTATTAATAGGTGTAAGGACGGGGGAACTTCTCAAATGCAGACCACTATCCAGATGGATTTAGCAGTTTATTTGTAGACATGTCTGTGCTTCGTGAAACTAAACTGTGGCTTTTATTTTGATTTGACAAAATTCATGAAATTGTTGAAAACACAGGTGCAGCTCAGCAGTAGGGTGTTTGTGGCATGCTGACATAAGATCACAGCAATCATTTCCCTCTGCAGCACAAACAAGGGCACTGGAAAAAATGCATAATAGCTAATTTGAGGTTGTGACATCTGTGCAAAGAAAATTGTCCTGGATAAGAAACCACTCTCCCAAGAGTAGGGGAGCAGTAAGAAACTGCTTTTAAAAGCTCAGTCTTTACAAAGTACAGCTTTATTTCATGAAATTACAAATCATTTGTAATTTCAAATAATCACACAGGATAAATTAATTCAAAGTTTTGTACATTTCATATATTTTTTTAATTTTATTTTTCAGCATTGCAATGTTTTTTAATTGTTGTGACGTTGTTGATCTTCTCACCATCAGGACAGTAAAGTGTTAATTAACGACAAGCACTCAGGCCAGCAGGAGACGCTGTGGAACCCCAGTTCAGAAATCCGCAGCCAGCGCCTCAAAAGACAAGTGGTACCAGTGGACCAGCAGGGGGAGTTCGAGTCTGAAAGGTAACAGCCACACTAATGGAACTATTCACTGTTACAGAATGGCTTTTTAGAATTTTCAGATTCAGTTTTACATTTTACATCTGACTTGCAAAAACCTCATGTCCTTTTGATGTCACTGTTCTGGCAGACTGTGGCAGCATGTGACCAGTGCCATTTTGGATCAGGACCAGCAGCAGGCCACTCAAGAAAAGTCTGTGCTAGAGGAGGCTCAGAGGAGAGAAGCCAAGGAGAGAGGAGACACACAGTGGATCCCACGACTTTTCCAAAAGGACCCTGTCAACTCTGAGTGGATCTACAAGCACATGGAGTATGAGCTATGAAAATGGTTTAAAACAAAATTAGGTTCAGTTAAAGACAAATCCACAAAGACTTTCTTTGCTAAATGTAGCATCTCTGTTTGACAGGATGCAGCCTTGGGACCCTGACCGATGTCTGGTTCAGTTTGAGAAGGATGGAGTGATCCAGACGCAGGAGAAAAGTCAACTCCGTGAACGGTCTTACAGGAACAGTTGGACAAATCAACAAAAGGTCAGCTGGACCAAACACACACACACACACACACACACACACCCCTGCTTACTGCCATGAAATCACACTCTTCCTCTTTTAATAATTCATTGCACTGACAGTCACACAGCTGAGTTGTTTCTTACCTGTGGTGCAGTTGTTGTTGTTCAATATGAACAAGAAAAAAAAGTGTATTTGCTTTCTTTGGTGAAGGTGAATGGGAAACACAGGAAGGCCAGCAGCCAACCGTCCAGCTGCAGCCAAAACACAGAGAGCAGCAGCAGCACACCTGAACCCACACACGAGTCCTCCGACAACGAAGGTACAGAGACTCACACATGCACACGCACAACACAAACCTCACCCTGTATGTTGCCTCCTTATTTGAATGCTGTTTGCCTGACATACACACAGGGTTCTCCAACCAGTGTGCGCGGTGCACTAAAGAGATGAAGGACTTCAGCCAGATAGAAGCCTCCATCACATGTATAAGGCAGACGCAGGCTGACATTCAAAGGTAAAACACACAGACAGACATCAGAACAGAGTTCACCTGACTACGTCAGAGGAACAGACAAATTCCATCAAAAATAACACAAGATCATCATTTAGCCCCCTCAGCAATTTGGGATAATTATCCTGGCCATCTGTGTCATGGCACAGTCAGCCAAATCTTCTAACTCTACCAGTCCTGCAGTTCATTTATAAAACACAGCCCAAGGACCACAAGAGGGCAGCAGCACCACCCTGAAAGCACCAGACAGGGATGGAAGGGCATTCAGGTTTTGAGTCATTAAACAAGAATAGTCTCATACATTTATATAAATAATAATAATAATATATTAGTAGTATTTTACTGAGCCCACTTGGGAGACAATAATCCACAAATTACCTATAAGTGCAGATGTGTCATTTAAGTTTACATTTTAATTTTGGTTCAACCTTAAGTGGACCTTGAGAAGGAACACACATTTTCTATGGTCAACACACTTTGCTGATGAAGGTGTAGTTAGTGTGTGTTTTTGCTGTAATCATAACCGTGACTGTTTATATGAGAAAACTAAACAGTGAAAAAAAATTCCATGTGAAACTCACCTTGTGACCTGTTTGATAACCTCTCTTGACCTTTCTCCTTCCTCCTGTCGTAGAAACCTGGCGGCCCTGAATCGTACTCTGTCTCGTCAGAGAACTGCCGAGGACAGTGTGTCACTAACTGGCCGTCACTGTCTCATCGTGTGCGTCCTGCTCTTCTCCCAGCTCCTCCTCAACTATGTCTTCACCTGAGCCCACTCCTCAGAGTTTCCTCCTGGCACTGACGTAGAATCCCATTCTAACCCTAAAAGCACAGACTATAATCAGCTCCAAGAACAGAGACTTTGGCTCAGTGTCAGGGGGACAACTCTGTCCCTGCTGGTTTCCACCGTGACAGGAGGACATTATAGCAATAAACACAGCCATTTCCTTTGGCCATCTGTATAAAGGAACAGCACCCCCTAGTGTAGCCAGACTGAAACAGCACCGGCACCCACGCACTTTGGACAAGCGAGAAGAGGGATGAGAGACATGGATAAAAAGATGAAGAATATGAAGATGAACTGAATGATGAAGAACAAGGTTTATGAAAGAAAGGGACGTAGAGGATGTTTCACCATTCCTTAGTGTCTTTTTATACTACCCTGCAATACTATTTGTATATGTGGGGGCACGTGTGTGTATGTGTGTGTGTGTCGTTTATACCTACAGTAGGCCCCATGGGCACAGGTGAATCAATGCTTGAACTGCTCTTCTTCCACTCCAGAGTTTGGGCCTTAATGCTAAAGCCAAAAAAAGAAGAAAATAAGTGAGTGAGTAACATGTACAAACGTAGAAGGAAATTCTTCCATCAGCGCATTCCTCTGTGTTTTTCACAAACATATGCGCTCAGAAATACTCTGTCTCATCGAATAATGACAATGATTTTACCAAAACAGTGTTTGACTTTGAAAGAACAAAGAGTATTTGTTTACAGAGAGCACTGTGTGTGTTCCTAACGCCCTGAGGAGGAAGGAGCCTTAGAACGAGGCTGCACATTGAGCCAAACGGTGTCTTTGAACGCATGTGCCTGTAGTGCCATAGCTGAAGCGATGTGACGATGCTCTGGTCAAGACCACGACACTAGTGTGTACAATCAGTTACTGGAGGGAAAAAGGGTGGAAATCAATACAGTTGGACACTTAGGCCTAATGTCAGAAGTTTGTGTGTGTGCATTGTGGTCCACACTATGTCCATGTGACTGTTTTATAATGTTAACTTCTTTTACCCTTATTTGGTTTTTGTACATATTTAAGCTCTCTGTGTTTCAAGAGTTTTGAGAATGTATTTATTGGGTGATTAATCTAGACTTTCCTAATCTAATTATACTTGGACGACAGAGAGCAGAGATCACCCTCTCTCTCTTTCACTCACCAAGTACTGTTTGTGTTAGTCTGCGTGTGTGTGTCATTGTACGGAGCACTTGTGTGTGTGAGCAAGCCATTTTAAGTTGTACTCGAAAAGAAGCCAGTTCTGTGAGCTTGGTTTTTAATGATAAAATTGCCAGTACTGAAATTAGAGAGCACAAATGTCTAAGTGCTTTTATTCACTCTGTTATTTCTTTTTTCCCCTCTTTGTATCTTTTTTTTTAACTCATCTGCTGTGCTGTGAGAATTTTTACAAACCAATCCTTCTGTTACAAGGATTAAAACTACACATAATGTTGCCTGATATTTTTGGTCATACACGTTGCATACTGTAGCACTACAGTAAAAGAATATAAACCTCATGTTGTCCTGACTGTTAGTAATGTCCTACAGAATAGAATGGATGTATAAAGGTCTGATAGGGTCAGCACTGGGTTAGACTAAGAGACTAAGGTGAATTCTCAGTCGGCCGGAAAAACAAATGTCACAGATGAAGACTTTACCTGAGGCAACAATGCAGGTGGCGAGTACTGTTGTTCTAAAGCGGTCTGTGTGTGAAAGGCTTTCACCAGTTCATCAGTGGTTCCTAAAGTGGGGGGAAAGGCATATGTAAATATTGGGAATTAGAAGATAAAAGGTGACGACGACATTCAATGTAATGAATGTCCAAGAATTGAAGTCCAGTGGCTCAAGTGTCTAAAACAACACAGTAATTAAAGCACTGAAAAAGAATAGAGTGGGTGGAGTAAGGAAAGACGAGGTTCTGCTTGACAAGCAGGAGGACGCAGAGCTGAAGACGTTGACTCTTAGTTTTACCAGGAAGGAAAGCGAGCTAACAATACATACAACTGATTTAATTCATGTGGTAATTTAGCAGTACTTCCAGTAGTAGTAGTTAAACTGCACTTGACCCAAAGAACATCTCACAAACAGCACATGTTGACACAGTGAATATAAAATTGTATTTACATTGTGGGTATATTTAGATCTTCACTGCTCATTATTGCTATTGCATATAATTATGCAAGATAATGTTTGGAGGAAATTAACGTCACAGTTTCTCCAGCAGCAGCAGGAGGGAGAAAGGATGTGTTAGAGAATGTAAAAAAATAAACCTTTGAATTCTTTGATCTTTTGATGATGAAATGTATTACAACCTCTGAGAGGAAGGATGGAGGGAGGACACCAGTAATTGGACAACATGTTTGGCAACTGCAGCGAAACACTCACTTAATATGCAGAGATGATAATGAGTCCACATCATTAGAGTCGAAGGTGAAGTGGTGAACTGGAGGCAGAAGGTGGTGACGCAACAGTATGGACGCCAACTGCAAATACAGACAATAAACAAGACCATTAGAGGAGGACATGGAGCAGTCAGACGAGCGCTTCCCTGGGCCGCAGGCCACAGTTTATGTGGAGCAGAACTCAGAGGAGATGGCTGAGGTGAGGCTGCGGGGGGGGGGGGGGGGG